GAACAGGAAACCAGCCAGCCAGTTCCCCACCACACTCTCCCAACCATCAGGGCTCCAGCTGGAGCATGGAAGAGTTTTACCCCAGGAAAGGATATTGGAGAAAAGGCCAAGGAGGATTGGCAGCCTTCGCGTTTCTGAGATAGGCTTTCCCTCCAACAGCTGCTCCCACACCTGGACACAACCTGGGCTTGGACAGCCCTGTCTGAGTCCTCTGATCGTCTCAGTCTCCCCCTGCTGCTGTCACCCCAGGTTCCCAAAGCCCTTTGTTACCCCTGGAATTGCCCTGGCACTGTACCCATCTGAGTGTCTCCCCTGCAGCACCCGCTCTGCTCCCAGAACTCTCCTGCAGAGCCCCATCGTACTTCTCCAGCTATCAGGGTATAAATATGGTGTGAGATAAATATTGTCACGGCACATTACCCTGGTCCTTCCTCACCAACACACACTGCAGACAGAGTTATGCATCTATTTATGTGTGTATATATATCTAATTATACTATACAAACTGTATATCCAACTGTCTATTGTGTATATTTAATATAAATGCCAGCTAATTGCCCTCAGTAAATATATATGGGGATTAACTGTATTGACGTTAAGTTTACTGGTAATCTCCTTGAAAATAAACACACAAAATAAAACAAACACATAAAAATAAAAGTAGAGGACATCACAGTTTTTATGTGTGGCTCCTTCCACCGCACGCAAGGCTGGCGCTTCGCCAAGGCAGAGAGCGCCGAGGTCTCCGATACCTTTTCCAAAGGGCTCCCCCAGGGAGCTGTTGGCTCACGCTGGAGGTGTTTGCAGCCGCGGGAGCCCGCGGAGCTCCCGTTTGATTCCCGCGTGTGCGGGAGGAAGGGCTGGGTTGGCCCGTGGTGTGTTGGCCGACAGCTGGGCCGGCAGATTGGCGATGGGCTCCGGTGCCTTCCAGCCCCGAGGTCGGCGCCTCGGATACGGCCCCGCTCAGCGCTGACGGGCAGTCATTAGGGCCGAGCAGATGTTTGATTGCATGTGTGAATGGGCTGGGGGTGCTCGGGCAGGTGGCCGTGGTGCAGATCAGACCCTGTTAACCCCCTCAGCCGAGCGGGCACAGGCAGCCCCTGGCCCCGCACTGAGCCCGCAGCGGGGACAGCAGGGGGGTCTCTCCTGCCATCAATAAAATCCTCTCCACAGGACAGGCCACTCAGCTCCCACATCTTTTTCCACCCCAGAAAGAGGTGACACTTGGCAGCTTTGTTTTTGGTGGCGTATTGTGCGCTCAGGGTGCACAGGGATCGGGCCAGGTCAGCACGAGGACACGCGCTCGGGGCAGTGCTGGCACAGGCTGCTGTGGGGACAGGGGTGGTTTTTCGACTCCATTGTCAGAGGTTTCAAAGAAGAGGGTAGGCAACTCCTGTTGGAGTTGGCTCTTGCCAAAATGGTCCCATACAGCACATTATATCACAGGCCCAAAGCAGTGGACTATGTGGAGAGTTCCCCATCTAATGCCTCACATCTTCCCCTGCTCTGTTTTGGCCTCAGCAGAACCCCCTGACAATGCTAAAGCTACTGTTTAACATTTTGCCACATTATCTGTCCATGCAGCCCTCCCAGCTGCTGTGCTGCTAATTATTTGGTTGTGATAATTTCTGTCCTGCTCCTTCATGCTGGCAGTGAATGTGCAGCCACTTGGGAACGAGGGCCTCCATGGAGCTTTCAGCCTGGATCCAGAAGGGATCCAGCCTTTGACCCCTGCCATAAATCCTCAGTTCTTGTGGTTTGGTTTTTTTTACCACTAAGATGACTGTTCCTTCCTATCCACCTTCCTCAGATCATTAATTTATTTAATCCCACGCCTCACCGGTTTGCAGGGCTCTGTTTTCCCGGGAGGGCTTGGGAGGGAGATCCTGTTCCAAGGCCTGTCCAATGTGCTCTGCAGAGCTGCCCCACTACAAGGGGAGAAGTCACCCAGCCAGTGCTCTCCATCCCTCCTGTCACCTTTTTTACCTTCTCCCCTGGCCTAGACACAAATCAAGGGAAGCTGGGCATCCTGCAGCCAGTTGTGTTTCCTTTCTTTTCTCCCTCTTCACCACTTCTCCCTGCCAGGTGCCTCCTTTCTCTCTGCAAAGCCCTCAGGGAAAGGCTGTCTTGACTATTTTGAGCCCATATGTTAAATTGATGTTCTTGCTGCTCTCCTGGATCCTGGGTTAATTGACAGGAGCAAAAGGCAGAGGGAAGAGGCGCTTCTCCAAACATGCACACATGGGTGCACACAGCAGCCTTGCCTGGCAGCAGGACAGACAGCTGCTGGATCTCTCCACTTGCTCTAAATTTCAGAAATCACAGAATATTCTGAGCTGGAAGGGACCCACAAGGATCATCAAGTCCAACTCTGCAGTGAATGGCCCACGCAGGGATCAAACTCAAGCACCATGCTCTAATCAGCTGAGCTTAAGCTCAGGGTCACTGGACTTGGAGATCTGTCTGTGGAAGTGAAGGAGGAGTGAGATGGCAGAATTGATGACTCAGAGGTGTCACCTGGTCCAGGTGTCTGGAGGGGCCAGGGTTTGATGCTATGAGAACATCTCAGTCACCCACTCAGTTCCCACAGCACCACCTCTCCTGGATGCCTGTGGTTATCCTGTGATGGACCCAAACTCATTCTTCTTGGAGAACTGCAGCAGCAGATTTGGAGCTGTTTTCCCCCAATTGACAACCTCTGCCCAAAGGGAAGGTGTCCTGGGCTGTTCCCAGCCCTGTGCCTTGCCCATGCAGCCTCTGGTTTCCAGCTATGGGAATGGGCTGATGCTCCTGTCCTGTCCTTAATGCCCTCCTTATCCTTACTGCCCTCCTGTTACAGCCTCTGTGAATCAATCACCAACACGCATTCCCAGAAGAAAATCCATGTGCTCCATATGGCACTGCCTCCTTCTGGCTTCCAAAGCAAGCTGCAATGAAATGCATCCGTCGTTCACAGAAGCTTCCTCTCCCTTTGGACAAGAGCAACTTGTTTGGCAGTGAGAAAAGCCCCACCACCCCTTGGATCTCTTAATTTGACGGGTCTGGGAGCCGGCAGATGAATATCTTAAATAACTAATGGTGACTCAGAGGAGCATTAAACAAAGATAACATTGTCACTTCCTCTCTGCTCCTCTTTTGTTTCTTACTCTTCAGCTTTCCTGCCGGTTTATTATCTCTTCAGTTTTCCTTCTGATGATCTTGTTACTATGACAGGTTGTGTATTATCTTTGGCAGCCTCTTGCAAACGTGTGACCTGTTGCATCAATGCACGGCAGGAATAAACAAGAGGAATGCACACAGAGGAATGCCAGCACCCTCGGGAGAGCTGGGAGTGCAACAGGAGGGCTCTGTTTGCCAGCTCGGGGGGTTTGGTGGGTGAGGGGGGTTGTGTGTGATGAGTTCCAGGTGGGAGACACTCTTTCCACTAACCCCTTTCCAGTTTGGAGATTCTGAAACTGAGCCTCCAGCAGTCCAGAATCTGGGCTGCCTGTTCCACAAATCTGCTGTGCATTGCTAAACACTTCCTAAGGCTCTGTCCCACAGCAGCCCTGTTTTTCAGGGACCGGGGTGATCTGTGCTGCACCACATGAGATCTGCAGATAAAGGCAGCCTTGAGAAGCCCTGGGATAAGCTAATAATACCAGCCAACACCACTGGCACTACCAGAAGTGCTCACATTCAGAGGATCACTTGCTCATTTATTTCAAGGACGTGCTGATTGCCAGGTTACCACTTCACGCTGTTATTTGGGTGTATCCAGTGCCTGTTAGTCACTGCTGGAGATCTCCAACAACCACCCTCCAAGCACTGCACAAAGCCAAAACTCAGCAGGACCATCCCAGCCTCCTCCTCAATAAAATACATGTCACAATGGGGATCACCTGCTGCAGGAATGAACCACCTCCCTCAGATTCCAGGCTCATGGTTCCTGAGGACCAGAACTATCCAGTTCTGCCCACGTGATTGGCAATTCTTGGTATTGCAGAAACATCTTCAAAGCTGAGAAATGTCTGGATAAAAGGCTCTGGTCTGGTCTCTCGTTTTTTGTATACGTCAGTAGAAGGCCTTAGGGAACCAGGAAATCTCATTAGGAATTAACTCGGGATCAAATACGACCTCCCAAGTGATTCTGAAAGGCCAGGTCAGTTTAAGGGAAAACTGCTTGATGAACAGAGCCACCTCAGACTTCTTTGAAGAAAAGTACTGCATGAAATTTTGATATTACTAAGTATTTAATAGATCTAATTTACAAAGCACTGTTGCTCCCAATTCCCAGAGTGCTGAAAATCCTGCAACCTATTTCTTCACAAGTATGACTTCAATTCATTCATGGCTTTTAATGCAGCAAGCTGTTCAACAGCTGCAAAAAATGTTTTAGGACAGGGAGCCTGAGCCCTTGTGAAGTGCACCGGGCTCTGCTGTACCTTCAGCAAGCCAGGAGAGTTCTGTAGCTCTGTTATGACATGAGGTACCAGGGTTTTCACACTCAGCCTGGAAGCAGCATTAGCACAATGTGTGAAGTCGTCATAGGGATCTTTGCTCACTCCAGAGTTACCCCAGGACAAGCAACCTCCCACTCAGGGGAACTTACAGATTAAGAGAGCTGCCAAAATGCCCCCAAATCCCACATTTGCAGGAATCCCACAGCCATGGGTGAGCAAGTGTAGCATGTCACAAGCATTCAGGTGTCCCTTTGGGTGATGGCTGCCATGTGACAGAGGGAACCGTGACAGCGTTGGTGTGAGCAGGGCTGGATCCACCCTGGGACCTCAACGCAGGAGTCCTCAAGCATCCCATGAGACAAGTGCTCTCCAAGGGACCTGTGACTCCCATGCCTTAATTAGAGGACAGTGACACCTCCAGCCAGGTGGTGAGCAGTCCTGTGGTTTATATGGTCCTCAGAGCCCTCCCGTTCTGGTCGTGCACACCCTCTCAAGAGAGATAAAAGCACGCTGCACTCGCACTGGTGCCACACAAGGTCACGTCTTGGTCCTTTGTGATGTGGAGCCCAGAATTCCGCTGGTGTGACAACAGAATGTTGCAACAGCAACACACAACCTCTGCCAGAATCCCCCAAAGCCAGGGTGGATACCATCCAGCTCCTTGTGGAAGTGTTCTGAAGACATTAATTGTCTGTCAGGACCAAACAGAAAAGTATCCAGGATTTCGGTGAGTCCTGTAAGAACATCAGGGTTTTTTAATAAATATTTGAGTGGCTTTTCCACTTCTGCTGGGTCCAGGGAGGCCAATGCTGAGAGGAGAGAAGTCTCTGTAAAGCAAGAGGTCCTTGGGAGTGGGAGCAGTGAGAGAGCTGACTAATGCAAGTCAGCTGCCATCCACCCATCGCAGCTCCCCTGTGCACACATTCCTTGCTGAGAGAGTTTTCCAGGCTGCTGCTTGGTCAGAACCACTCTCACTGAAGCTTTTCTTACAGAATCTTGGATTCAGAAGACCTCAGGTTTGTTTCCATGCTGGTGAGCACTGGCAATAACTCCAGGCATGCACGGTGCTGTCCCCGCACACTCTGCTGCAAAGCAAAGGGAGGGCACACACCCCTCTCCTGCTCCAAACTGCTGCTCAACGGGTCAGCCAGAGCCCTCCATCACAGCACAAGCCTCATGCCCTGTTCTCCACCTGGAGATTTGTTTAAAAGCCAGATGTTTGCTCAGTGAACTCAACTGGAAATAACTTGCCTTTGACAAATTTCTTACTAGTGAAGGCTGCAAGCACCCACAAATAGTTTACACAAGTGCCTTAGTCAAAGACACACGGTTTCAGAAGCTTTCTCAAACCAGAGTCTCTGAACATTGTGTGACAGAGCCCATTTAAAGAAGGCAATAAGTATGTTTAACAAAAAGAGCATGACTCCCCCCAAAAAACATCTAAGAAACCCCCAAACCAAAATGTAAAAAACCCAAGGAGTTTCCCTTTCATACCAAATGCTTATGAGGAATTAGAAAAAATTATTTCTGTGCATGCTGGAACACAAATAAGAAGATAAAAGTGAAACCCCTGCTTTTGCCACTTGGATTTCATTTTGACCAAAGAATAACCTCTTTTTTCATGGTTTATACTGCTGGTCCCCCCTGTTCCTGTAAGCTGGGGAAAGGGAAAATATAGAAGAAACATAGGGGAGGAATCACTGCTTGCTTTACTTTTGTGGCTGTACTGGGCTTGCTTTTCTTTTGGAAGTTGAAGCAAACACCATATTAAGTGAAATAATGGGATAACAATGGTGAGAAAACAGTAAGAAAGTCAGGACACTTTCCCCAGGACTTGCTGCTTCTCTGCTTGCAAGGCTGAAGCTGTGGAGGCACATCCCAAGGCAAACTAATTTGTATTTCTTACCCCAAAAGGCAGTGCAGGAGCAGGGATGAAGTATCTCCATCCTTTAAGCTACTCCTAGGGTTTGCCACCCGAACAGGACACACTGTTGATCAGCTCCAGGGGGGCGAAAAGGACTTCTGGGAGCAAGTTCTGATCCTCTCTAGGAGGCAAGGCCAAAACATTGCCAAACTAAGCTGGTTGGAATGGTCCCTGCCTCTGTGATTAAGGGGATTCATAAATATTCAATGTTTCTTGGCAGCTGGGAGTGCTTCACTTGTTCCAAGTATCTCAAGGGGGATGGGAAAGGCAGAATGAGCCTTAGTATTTCTGACACCCCGCAGAGACAATGAACCGGGGAAGGAGAGTGCTCGTCGTCTTGCAGCGAAACATTTCACGTGGGGTGATTTTAATAATTCAGCCCTCGACTGGTCTGTTTAAATGTTTGATGCCTGTGAGTTGAGCTTTAAGATCCAGCCACCTCCAGATCTGAGGGGCTGGGCTCCAGGTGGGTGCCATGTGCCTTCCCCAGTGGTGGATTAAACGTGTTCCCACGGCAGGGCCCGAGTCTGAGAGCAGGGATCTCTTCCTCCACTGCATGAAATTCCAGTGCTCTCACACCAGGGGGGAAAACATCAGCTACCCCATTCTGGTTTGTGTTTGGAAGAGAAGAAAAATGTAGTAATGAGGAATAAAGATAAAAATGCTTCATTACATTCTGCTCATATTAGAGACAGCAGAGCACTTGGACCACAGAGGAAGGTGGTTTTTCTGGATTTCTGGACAAGCCCCAGGATATTAAGACCTCCTGTTCCCATACAGTGGAGTTGCTATGCTTGTATCTCCTCTGACTGATCAGATTTTGGCCATTCTCAGAGACAGGACACTGTGCCAAACATATTCTGAGTTTGCCCAGGTTGGAAGATGCAAACATTCAAGAAACCACATCATTTCTGCTCTCCCAGCTGCTGACATGTTGCCACATTCAGAAACTCTCTGTCCCACAGCTAGAGTTTGCCATCAGCTTTGTTCATGAGAGACCCTTCACTTCCATGTGAGATCCTGATCTTGCAAGCCCTTATCCTAAATTATCCATGAAATGTGTGAGCATGAGTTATGCATGAGATGAATTATCCATGAACAGGGTTGGTCGTCTTCTCTCTTTGTCAACTCTGTAGGTTCCAGCCAGGTATCAAAGCATGGAGTAGGCTGGGCTTTTCCCCCCCTCCAAGAATCTGAATTTTACACAGCAGTGTACAAAACCTGGGAAAGAGCTTAAATATTCAGTGGGTCGTGGTGGCAGAACACAGAAGGCTGTCTGAGAGTGCACAGGGTCAGCCTTTCCCCAAAGATGCAGTTTCAGATCCTAAATCCAGTCAGTGGTTATTCATTCCTGTAAAGAGCTCCAAGAATGATGGAGACAACTTGTCTGTCTCTGACAACACACTCCCACACCCAGGCTGGTGGTGAGTGTAGTCATCTATGAACTGGAGCTTGGGATTCAAGGCCCTTCTCCACAACAAACACAGCAAAGTCTTAATTTTGGTGGATATCTACTGATTTTGATGTGAAAGTCTACGATGGAGTTGTGTTACTGATCTTGAGGTTACTTGTCAAAGTTGGTCAGTTTAGAGAAGGGAGAGGGAAGAGAGGATTCTGGAAATCTGATATTTTGGGGGGAGGGATGTTCTGTGGGGGTTTTTGAGGACTCCTGACCAGCTCTATCACCTACCACCTTGCTAACTGTGTGTTTTATCCCCACACAAGGCCAGCAACAATGTCGGCACCAGCTCTCCAATGTGAAGCCAGGAACCCCTCCTCATCACCGGAATGCACACCCTACCACACCTCCAGGGACATCAGATACATCTTCCTCAAAAGCTGCAGGAACATCCCTGCATTCCGCACCCTGGACGGTGCAGGCGCCAGCAACGTCTACCAAGGACCCACGTCCTGCCACCCCACGTTACAGCACGACCTCAGCACGGATGAAGACTCCTATTCCTCTCTTCCTCAGTACCTCCCCACCTTTGTCACCTTCTCCATGCGCCTGGAGAAGGAAGCCACGGATTTGAGACGCTCCCCTGGCTCCAAGAAAAGGCTGCCGGTGTTCCGCCAGCTGTGCGGAGAGGCCGTGGAGGAGCTGGAGGAGCTGCCCGGTGCCAAAGCACCCAGGGAGAACATGAAAGGCTGGAGGCTCATACAGGCAGCTGGGTGCTCTACCTGCAGCAAGGCATGAACTGACTCTGAGATACTGTCTGGAAAAATACAACATTAATGGTGTCCTTACATTACCAGGGGGTCAGTGGAGACGTGGTGTGAGCTCGGCTTCACTGACAGCCAAGGGCTGGGAAAACGGGATGGAAAAGGACAATATTGTCTACCTGGGATATTCCTTCCACTCTTCTGGGTGCCATGGGAGACTGCCAGCCAAACACACTGGCAGCTTGTACCAGGGTGGCCATCCAACCCCATCTCTTTCACTGAGTCCCTCCAGCATGCTGGAAATAAAGGAAAACTTCCTTCTCCACATCCCAAAACCCAGCAACACCTCCTGGGCTGACACCCACAGCCCATTCACCAAGCATCCCCTCCAGCTGCTGAGCTGGAGGAAAATGTGTTGACTAAAGCACTGAGTACAGGCTGTGACAGAGCAAGTACCAAACGCTCTGTGGGAAAACAAAAACATGAAAGGGAGAAGAAATTAAAGGAAAGATCTCACGTGAGAGTGCCTGGGAGGGAATTTGGGAGATTTTCAAGTCTAGGGATTGAAAAAATAGTGACAATTAGATGAAATGCCCCCCGAAAAAAAAAAGAAGGTAATAAACAGGATTCAGGGGGGTTGGCACATGTATGATTCTTAGATGTGTTCCTGAAAGAAACTGTTTACATCTGGAAGATCACAGCCCAGTCTGACAGGATCTCCTGAATGGGAATGTGAAACCAGGCTGAGCAGAAAAGAGTGAAAGACAGTGGAAAGTGCAATGGTTTGAAGCCCAAAGAGGGATAGGATGTTACTCAGAGGACTTCAAGGAAAACAGGACAATCAGAAAACAGGAGGAAAAAACAGACCTTGGAGAACATTGGAAACAGGCAGATGTCTGTGAGGGGGGACTTGTTAGGGAGAAATGATGAGTGTGCTGCTTGTTTGGGACCAAAGAGCAGAAGGTTGTGGGGTCTGCTGGGGGGGGGGTAAAAAAAAAAATTAACAGTTTAAGTTAAAAGCTACTGATTATCCTTTACCTTGGGACAGTAACAGTGGCAGAATCCCACAGGGATTGATTGCAGGTACAAAAACCAGGCTGTAGGGTTTTCAAAGAGAAGTCTGAGTGATTGTCAGAGGCCAAGCACACGAGAGGATGCAATCCAACAGGCTCATCAAGGGCTGATGCCATGAGAAAGGTTTGAGGATGATGAGCTATTCGAGGGAGAAGAATTATTGCCAGAGAATAAATTCCCACTGGTTAAGTTTGGGTGTTAAGTGCTGAGACTAAGGGTGAAAAATCTCTGAGGAGCACAGTGAGAAACAGAGGGACATGGAGATACCACATAACCACCAGAACTATCTCCACACATAGGGAGAGGAATCAGACTATCAAGGATAGGCCAAAGGATGGGGATGGGTTATGCTGATAAAAATAAAAGCTGTTTGGGGAAGAACTCTGAGAGGAGTTTGTAGGTCGTGCTGGAGACTGAGTTTAGATCCCCCCAGTCAGAAAGGGACTGAGTCATCATGGAGGCTTTAATTTTTGAGGCACAGATTGCAGAGCAAATGTTGCTTATTGCAGGCACCACTTATTCCTGAGCACGATAATAAACAGACTTTGTCTCCAAATGGTTACTGATCCAGGACGACACAAGGCTATTTTAGTAGTATTTCAGTGAATGTGAAGACATTACAGAAGAGGCTGACCTAGAAAATAAACACGGGTCCAGTGATCAGAAGTCGATGCCATTTAAATTAAATGGAAGGAGATATTAGAACAGGTCAGTAGCTGGGGCCATTCGCGATGAATTAGCATATGAAATTACCAGCATGGCAACAAGGAATTTTGCTGCCTCTAACAAACTGGGAGTGGAACCATATGCCTGGAGTTTACCAAACACAGCACCCACGCTCGAGGAAATGGGGCAGGAGCGATCGTGACAGCTCGAGAGCCTTTATTCTGACCTCAGGAGTTTGCTTCCATTTCAAGTCAGTTCTGGAGGTGAGCAGAGAACTGAGCCCAGTGTAATCAGCTTTTATGGAGGACAGGTCGTGTCGTGCTGGCTTGGCAAACACATCACCCAGCGGCCACAACCCACACCCCAGGCCACACTCTGCAAACAGGATCAGACAGAGCCTGAAAAAACAGCCAAAATTTCCCCCACTGAGGAGCCCAGGAGCAAAACCACCTTGAGAGAGCTGGTGACAGGCACTCAGGGTTGGTGCTCCTCTGATGCAAATGAGATTTCTCTGGTAGACCTTGAACTGATCTGTGAGGACATCAGTTCAAATCTAGGGACACTGTCTGGCACCTTCTTTGCAAAGGAACCAGTTCTTTCAGGCATGAGAAGCCTGGTACATCTAATCCATGTGGGCATCAGCATCTCTGCAGGAGATGGATTCAATGAGTACAAGTGAAGTTCCTCAAACAGTGGCCAAGGGACTCATCTCTTTGGCATTTCCATTGATGGATTTGGCACAGACAGACATATTGGATTTAGGAAGATTGCTGATTCCCCAAAGCTGAAAGGAACCTATTTCTCCTGTGGGAGAAATTAGGTGACCTTGAGGAACAGCTATTGCACAAAATCTCCTGCAAAAGGAGCTTCTGCTCTAAGCTGAGAGCTCACACATTGGGAACAAGGGAGGGAGGGAAAGGCAGAGATGAACTTGCCTCTCAGGGGCTGATGATAAATCTCTGATGTAATGTGGCTCTGAAAAAGGCAAATTCGATAGCAGAAGGTGTCAGGGGAGATATTCCCTTCAGAGAAATCCAACAGCTTCTGTTGTGGCACAAAGCCCCAAGGAGGCCTTGTTTGGAGTCCTGTTCCAACTCCAATCAACCATGTTCAACGGAGATTAATTGAAACCAGGACAGGTGGGAGAATGGGTGGGTTGAAGATCCTTCCTTGTGGACCTGCAAGAGTTTGGCAAAAGGTAAATTGAGGGGATGGAGCTGCTGCCTGAACAAAGAGCCGAGAGAGGAGCATTTGAGGAGACAGGGAAAAGAGTTACTTGAAGTTGGCATCCATAGAGATGGAGATAAAAAGCCCAAGGATATGCTTCAGCTGGAATTACAGGATCCTTCACCATGAAAAGAGCAAATCTGTGGGACACACTCCAAGTCAGAGGAGCAAGGGAGGAGGAGCTGAACAAGAGGATAGATCTGTTGAGGAAGGAGGGGATGTAGCTGTTATATCTCACTGAGGGGGATTTCAGGTTTATGAGGCTGATGACCAGGAGATCCTGAGCAGCACACAATCTGTCTACCCCTGAAACAGCCAGTTGCAAGATGCCTTTTTTATGGTAGTGCTGTCATGTTGGTGTGAATATGTGGGGGTGTGCCTCCCTCTGTGCTCTACCGACTGCCTGGAAATTTGCTCTGGATTCTAGATTTTCTCTTTCTGAAAGGCAGGCCTGTTGCTGAGATCTTGAAAACTGGAAAAAAAAAAGACATCTCTTTCTTTCCCAACATCAAAACTCTACCAGCTGGCTGGCCTAGCGTTGCCTCTGCCAAAATCCTTCAGAACCCAGCACAAAGATAGTTTCATCTCCCAGTCATAGCTTTTTTAGCCTCTGTTCTTCTCATGCAGGTCTTCATCTTTTCCCCTGCTTTTCCTCCCTTCCCAGTCATCAGCATGCAGAACCCTCTGCCTCCTGCTATTCCCCAAATGCCTCCCAAACCCAAGGTCTCCACAGGTGCCTTACGCATGTGTGTGAAGAGCAATCAGTGCTCCACCTCCAGTAATTGGAGTTGAGAGATGGATTTGATCTCCGCTGTTCTGCATGTGAGGGATGAGCCAGGGGGCTGAACTCTGCTGAATGTGACGTGCTTTGGAGTTTAGGAGGCTTTACAGCACAGCACAGGGATCAGGACATCCTCCAGGGACTGGTGTAGGACACAGGCACACACCTCTCCCTGCCTTGGTGGCTGCACCCTGTGCTCTGCTCCTGCCCTCAGAGGGACAATGTCTGTCCAGCTCCTTGTAAATTAAAACCACTGGCTGCTCTAAAGCTGTTTTATTCCTCTGGCCTTTGACAGTGATGGGAGTACAGTGAGGGACAGGTGGTTTAACCATTCCAGTGATGTCCCAGTTCACGCACACGTGGCCATGAACAGCGAGGCCCCTGTGCCTCTGCAGAAAGCCACCCAGTTTCAAGAATGGGGCACTTGTGCAAGTCTCTGCTGCCTCACACCTACACGTGGGACTGTGGCTTTGCCTCTAAATGCTCCTTGAAGGGTGGCCTCGACCTGCAAACACGTGAGGCAGAAATCTGAAGGTGCCTTCTCTCACAAGTGCCCAAGGAACCAGCGCTCCCAGGGGAAGGGAAATCACCTCCTCCCCATTCAGCGGCGTCGGCTCGAAAGCAGGCTGGATCCTGAGCAGGGCTGGCATCCAAACGGGGAGGGGAGGCCTATCCCCACAGGTGCCATCACATTTAGACGGGCGATGGTGTGTGCAAAAACATGTTCATCTGTGAATACCGGAGCAAATTACTGTCTTGTGATTATTTATATGAAGATGTGTTTGTGGATGAATTACCAACCAGCCTGGAGCAAAGAAACGGAGCAGTGACTCCACCTAACATGTCAGCAGGCAAACCAACAACCCACTTGGGATAGTCATTAACAAATTAACTGATCACCCGGGTCTCCTGCTCCCTGTGGGGGATCTGTGTGCCTGGAAAGCCAAAGCAGCAGATTTGCATTTGTGACAGAGGTGTGTGGGGACAACACTACCAATGACTGCAGCCTGGGGCTGGCTGGGCAGAACTCAGCACTGGGCAGGGCCAGGACACTTCAAACTTGCCAAGTGCAGGCTGCAGATGAGAACAGAGCAGAATAGAGACCCAAAAGTGAAAGAAAGGCATGGAAAGGCTGATAGAGAGGCAGAGGGAGAAAGTGTGAGATGAAATGAGAGAGTAGGGGAAAAAAATTAACAGCTTTCTTTGTTCCTTTTCATTTACAGACAATATTATAGTTCTGCACAGAAGGACTAATTTAGCCCTCTGTACAGCCCTAGTGACCCTTCCTAATAGAAACCATTTAAATCTTTAAACAATTTACATGAAAATGTAACTTTGCTG